CGACGACCTCCACACAGTGTTTAAAATAGCAAACCAGAATGAACAGAGCACAAATAACCTGAGCCAGACATGTGCCAAAGGAGTCATGCTATAAATAGAAGAAAAGAGAATGGAGGGGAAAGGTTGAAGGCGCAGCCAAAACGTTTGTATTCCCAGGGCACAGTAAGGAACCGGAAAGGGATTCTTTCTTTCATCACTTCCAAGTACTCAGTGTATGTATTTAAATGTCTGTGTGTGAATGGACACATTGGCAGAGTCCAGAATGTGGGGGGACGGATCAGGCGCTCCTCTTCATGACTGAGAAGCAAGCAGTCCTACCCACTGAGCCCTCTCTCCAGACTGATGCTTCTTACCTCATTTTATTTAAGGCCACGTGGTTCATTCCTGTTGAGTTCTGAGTGGTTCTATAAAGTTGAATTTCCTCCTGAAACATGAGCTGCTAACTTGTCTGCCTTCTTATGCTCCCCTGAAAGGGAAACAACAGCATTGTGGACCCTCCACTTCCCAGGACAAAAGTGTCCCTTCGAGTTCCTGTTCAAATGAGTTATCCCTTCTAGGTTCAGATAGGAGAGTGGAGTGTCCCACTCTGGGATAGCCACTCTGGCTCAGACAAATGTGTGTTTGGTACCGAATGTGGCGATTTCCCTTAGCCGACAAGGTGTTGGCCCACTGAGAGATATTCAGCACCTCCAGATGTTTATTTCTCTCTGTTGTCTCTCATAAAAGGGGGAAGTAGACTCCTGGCAAGACTGCCCCGGGTCTTATGAGTTCTCAGTGACTCTCTCTGGCTGTCTGCCCTGCCCTGCAGAGGACATGTGCTGAACAGCTGCCTGGGAACCTGCACACCACAGTAGCCATCATTGGCCCAGATGATACCCACACTGCCTTCTCTGCAGCAGGGAGGAAATTTCCAGAAGCTCCTGGGCACAATTGACCATCCACTGCCGAATTTGATGTAGTTATTATTTAATCTAGTGTGAGGACTAATGTTATGTTTTAAGTTTTAATTATCAGGCTTAAGAGATCTAGAAAACACACATGCCTCTAACCTCTAAGACCCACTTACCCAAGGGCAGATAACTTACTAGCATCCTGGGGGCTGTTCTTTATGTAAGATAGCAAATCATGTGTTTTCATGTCTGAAATAAGGTTGGCTACCCCAACTACACATGAGGTGTTTGGTCACATATAGGCAGGAGGTGTGTAGGTGGGAAGTATGTAAGGATTTATGCTTACCCCTGGTTGAATGAAGGTGGGAAGTGCATAGCCATGTGGGATTTGCCTTTATAAGCAAAGGACTAATGTAATTTTCGGCCATTCTCTGAGAATCCCAGGTATGGACATGGCCAGTGTCCATCATCCTGGTCAGTATTTAATAACGTTTCCTTCAAATTTGGCTCAAAAAAAAAAAAAAAAACAAAACAAAACAAAACAAAAAACAAAAAAAAAAAAAAAAAAAAAAAAAACGTGGTAGTGGTCTTACTCTGATCCAGGGGATTAACACTGGCTTAATAGTTTTATATTCCCAAAAACTATTCCTGGGGAAGTGTTTACATTCTGTAAATATTCAACAAAATCTGCAGTGGACATTTTGTATTTTCAGAGCCAAAATTGGGTTGGGTTCCACAGTGAAGGCAGGAGGTGCAGGGCTCCTAGAAATTACATATTCCTTGCTCTAAGGCTATGTCTAATGTAGACAAAAGTTTCTGTCCCATCCAGTCCTGTAGCCATTTAGTCTCAAATAAACACAGAGGCTTATATTAATTATAGACTCTTTGGAAGATCAGGCTTCTTATTGGTTAATTATTCATCCATTTCTCTTAATCTGTGTATCTCTATGTGGTCTTGGCTTACAGAGATGCCTGGGCCTCTTGGTTCCTGGGATGTTACATGGCATCTCCCTGACACTACCTTTCTCTATCCCTGTTTGGGTTTCCTGCCTGGCTAAATCCTGCCTGTCCACTAGCCAAAACAGCTTTATTCCTTAACCAATAAGAGAAACATACAGTCACAGCATACAGAAATACATCCCCCATCATCTCTTTTCTGTCTAAATAAAAAAGGAAGGTTTTGCCAGGTGTTGGTGGAGCACACCTTTAAACCAAGCACATGGGAGGCAGAGGCAGGTGGATCTCTGTAATTTCCAGGCCAGCCTGGTCTACAGAGTGAGTTCTAGGACAGACTCCAAAGCTATACAGAGAGACCCTGTCTTGAAAAACCAAAAAAAAAAAAGAAAAAGAAAAAAGAAAAAAGTCAACTTTTAACTATACCACTGGTGTGAGTACCTCAGGGCCTGTTCCTTCAGAAGCATAATTTTGCTTAGGACATAAGAAAAAAAAATGACTCTAAGAATCCAGTCCTATCTAGAAATTTCTGCAGAAATTTGGCTAACCAGTGGTACCAGATGTTTGGGAAAACTCAGCTTTGCCTACTATGTCAGTTGACCTGTGTCTCCATGGAGAAAGAGACCATGTAAATGTACCATGCTAGAAATTTACATGGAGTTAGGCAAGGCATACCTGGGGCCCGCCTGTTAGTCCTAAGGCTCCATACTACTCCAGGATGGACTGCAGCTTGACCGTTACTTTACTTAAGCAATGGGTAAATGCAACCTCTTCCCTCAGTCCTTCATTGGCATTTATGAGTCTGATAATTTTGAAAGTGATACTCTAGTTATCTTGTGTATGGTTTCCTTGGCTCGGGTGCCTCTTGTGCGTTCTCATGATTGGTACATCTCGGTAGGAGTAACAGGGCGGTGCTTGCATCCTTCCCACTGTGCCCCATGCTTCCTCTTGTTCCTCAGTGAGGGTGTTCGCTCCTGGCGTTTGATTAATCTGCATTGGTTGTCTAGTGCTACTACAATGAGATGCCAGGAATGAATTTCTCATAGCCAGAAATCTGAGGTAGAAGCTTAAACATGACTGCCTTCTTATTTGTGTTTTTCCTCTGGCCTGCGTGCTGTGTGTCATCTCTGTCCTCACAAACCTCATACTGGGTAAGAGTCTTCCTATAGGAATACATGACTCCCCCACAGTCACTGTCTCAATAGCAGCACTCCGTCAGCCAGCACAAATGACAGCATTATGGCTCTCATAGGCTTTCTATGAAAGGCATGCTTTATCCCTTTATCCGTGTCCAAACACAGCAACTTTTCTGAGAACTGGAACATGGAATGGATTTAGTAACTCAAGCCTTTCTGAATACTGAATGTTAAAACAAACGGGAACATCTCTTTCTGAGGAAAAAAAAATAAGTAAATGGAACACAGATATATGTGCTGATACAATCACCCTGCTCCAGCTTTAGGAAGAAACAAACTGAAGCAACAACAGACGGGGACTAAAGACACTGACCACGAGGGACACCCCACCACTGGCCACAAGGGACACCCTGTCACTGGCCACGAGGAATACCCCGGCGTAGTTCCCTTTGGATCTAATTATCTAGAGGAGTACTGATATTAAGTGCCAAGCCTGCCAACTAGTCAATTACATTTTCTTACCTAAGTTCACCTGCAAAATACCCCTGGCCTGCAACTTTGTTTAAGATGAGATTCAAGGGCCAGATTACAAATAGCTAGGCCATACACCAAGGTGTCTTAGTCAGGATCATTACTGCTGTGATGAAACACCGTGACCAAAAGCAATGAGGGGAGAGAATCACAGTTCCTTATCAAAAGCAGTGAGGGCAGGAATCTGGAGGCAGGAGCTGGGCAATGGCATGGCAGAGGCCATGGAGGGAGCTGCTCACTGACTCATTCCTCATGGCTTGCTCAACCTGGTTTCTCATGGAACCCAGGATCACAGCACAAGGATGGCCCCACCCACCGTGGGCTGTGCCCTTCCACCCCACCCCCCATCACTAATTAAGAAAACACCCCACAGGCTTGCCTAAGGCCTACCTGTAAGGACACATTTTCCCTATTTAGGCTACCTCCTCTCTGACAACTCAGTGTGTCCAATTGACATAAAACTAACCAGAGCATGTCCAATAAAATTTGTCATGGAAACAAAAACAACACTAGTTTGTTACAGGAAAAGGGGGAGAAACAGAGGAAGAAAAACGGAACACTCGTTTAAAAATATAAAATTTATTCATAATCAGTACCACGGTTTACTTTCTGTACAGGGTACTCTTGAGCTAACAGCCTCAAGAGCTCACAGCAGAAATACACTGCTATCAAATATTGTTCATGCTATTGGACTCGGAGAATACTTGTTTCCCCTTTATACATGTTAAGGCTCAGTTTCCAAAAGGTAATTATACCACTTAGGTTCCTGCTTAAACGACTGGGAAAGGCTAGGACTAAACCACTACAGTAAGGTTGGTGAAGGACAGGAGGCAAGCTCCACACACACACACACACTCCTTCATACTGAAGATAGTGTCATTATTTTTCTAAAGGCTTCTTCCCTTTGAAAAACATTTTGGTTACAAAAAAACAAAAAAACAAAACAAAACAAAAAAAAAAAAAAAAAGGACAGGAGATCTTTAGTATATAAACAAGAAAAGCTAACCGTGCATTTCCCAATGTGGCTGCATGATATGTATTGTGGGAACAAACGACACTCCTACAAGTTTCTTAAATGACTCTAACCAATCAACCTCCCTTTCAGCACATAAGGGAAAATAATCTCCATTATCTCCATTCCATTCCTTTCAGATCAGGTGACCACAAAGTTGTCCTTTCCCCTAAAAACAATCCTCCATTTCTCTCTCAACCGTATAGAAGAATGTAACCATGATTGTGGCCTTAATGGGAATGCATTGTGATGTGATCTCACAGCTAGGTGTGGTGACACAGGCCTGCAATCCATGTGAGAAGTGGAGCCTAGAAGTCAAAATTTCCCGGCCAGTCTTGGTACATAGTGAGTGTGAAGCCAGCCTGGGATACATAAATAAGACCCTGCCTCAAAAGAATTTAAAATAATAATAATAATAATAATAATAATAATAATAATACTAGATGAGATTAAAGGAAATCGAACTGCAATTTGGAGTTGTTTTGAGAATTACCTTATTAACAAATTCCAAAACACTCTAGAAGCTCTTTACACACAAATATTTCATCCAATCATCAACGACACATCATTTTACAAAAGGCAGAGTCTTTTTCCACTCAAGAATCGGCCTTTTCATTCATTGAGCCCACACTATAACAACGATGTCAGAAAAGGGCACCTGTGGGTTCTGCCTCTGGCGTGAAGAGGTAGAGACTATCATCCAGTAGAAAAGATTAGCAATAAACAAGCAAAAGACACACAACGAAACGATGTTATAAAACTTCACTTCTAAAGGCCAGTTATGGGAAGTGTGTCAGTCCAGTTCCAGGCTGGGAGATCCATTGCCCACGATCATCTTGCTGTAATTCTTCTGCTGTTCTTCCTTAAAGGTGTCCTTCACCTTTGCTCTCTTCAGCCCTCCATCCCTGCAGACAGAAAGTTACATATAGGAAAGATACTCTGCCAGTGAGGAGATGGGCCAGGTGGAAATGGGCCTCGTGGTACAGGATGCTTAATAGAAACAGGAAGGGCAGATTCTGGTTTCTGCTCTACAAATGACCAAGTGTGTGTTCCTTTGGGCAAAGAACACACTCTCTCTAAGCTTGGCAAACATGGAGTATAGCTGTGGAGTATAGCCTTTAATCTCAGAGGCAGGTGGATCTCTGTGAGTTCGAGGCCAGCCTGATCTGCAAAGTGAGTTCCAGGACAGGCTCCAAAGCCACAGAGAAACCCGGTTTCGAAAAACAAACAAATGGAGAGTAATACCGCCTGCATGCACGTCTCCCCTGAAGAGGCAGTTATTTTCTGGTACTGGGAATTGAACTCAGGGCTTTGTGCATGACATGTAAACACTCTTCCACTGAGCTACATCCCTAGCTTCTATTCCATTTTGTTTCAAAATTTAGAGCTGCTGTACGCAATATTTAAATAGAAACAAGGATTATTAAGGTATTTCTCTGATTCTTGGAAAACCAAATGTTAGTTTTTCCATTGTCTGTGTCTTGCTGAGAAACCCCATGAAAGTTGTAAATACACACACACAAAATGATGAGAGTACTGTCCATGCATGGGTTATAAACAGGCAAATTTCTTAAAAAAATAAATTACTTGATAGCTATTCAAATCTAACCCTATGACTAACAACTCTATTTTTATTCAAAACATATTCATACTTTTATAGTCCAAAACATATTCAAGATAAAACAAACAACAAAATCGTAAGCTGCATTTGACAGAAGTTAGTACGATGCAAATAGCTTTCCTGAACTTGGAGCTTTGAATCATTGAACTCTCCACAGCTATGAACCACAAGACCTGTCTGGGTTATAAGGGCTCTGAGTGTCTTTCCTTCTTTGGACACAAGGAACAGCAAAACTAGGAGAGGTGGGAGGAAACCACACTAACAGCAATTGCTTACTCCTCCCCATTATAATATGCTAGACTTTAACTCCTGGTGGGAGGAGGCAGAGCACTTGCTTGCTTCTATTGGGACTGTTGAACTTGAGCCCAGTTAGTCAAGTTCTAACAGTGCCGAATGATCATGTGTACACAGATACCACAGGGATGGAACTTGACCTTCATACAGACACGTGCCTGAAGCCAGTACAATGTTCAGGTTCACAGCGTCAGGCCTAAAGCACAGCCTTAACTTGAAAATGGACCTCAGCTCACAGTTTTACAGGAGATCAGGAATGGGAAGTTCCCATGAAATAAAACTACAGGTACACATAAACCTCTTTTCTCCAACTGAGCCACCTGTGATTATTCGTAGGATTACATGGACTTTGAGTCGTGAGAAGTAAAGGAGAAGGCGAGAGAAGAAAGGCTTTCTGTTCTACTAAGGCCCGAACCAAACTAGACAATAATAAGACAAGCGCTGGTGGTGTTGCTAACGCCTGTTCTTAAGCCTCCTGGCATCACCTTTGGACACAGCCACCCAGTGAACCACCTCATCTATGATCTCTCACCTCCAGAAGCTTCAAAGTCTATCAAACTCCCCACTGCAGTAACAGCAGATCTTAGTTCTTTGAGAAACATGTAGCCACTAACAGCCAGCTTAAGATCATAGAGCAAGAAGCCAAAAAAAAAAAAAAAAAAATCACACAGCAGTTCTCATTCATCTGCAAAGAAATCAGTCTAGACATGTTCTCATAGTTTCAGCAGATGGATGAAAAATATATCCAGAAAGGCAGGAAGGCCCTTCCAGACAAAAAAAAAAAAAAAAAAAAAAAAAAAAAAATGCCAGGTAGTTAAAAGTAATCCAGTAATAGGAAATGGGAAGATGGAAAGTTCAAAGAATTTGTTTTGGTATGTGTGTTTTGTTTTGTTTTTGTGAGACAGGGTCTTATTCTGTAGCTCAGGCTGGCTTGAAATTCACTATTCAGTCTAGGTAGCCCTGGAACTCATGGGAATCCTCCTGCCTCTGTCTCTCAATACTAGGATTAGAGGTGAAGATCACAACAGAGTGTGGCTGACTGCTTGCTCTCTCTGTCTCTCTCTTTCCCTCCCTCCCTCCGTGTGTGTGTGTGTGTGTGTGTGTGTGTGTGTGTGTGTGTGTGTGTGTGTGTACACGCGCTCACTTGCTTCTCTCCCTGGGTCTGAGACCACAGCCACAGCCACAAGCTTTTCGTAATAGCCTCAGACAGGGCTAGCATGTTGTGTAAGAGGAAGCTTTGGAAAAAGTGGTTTTAAGAGCAGGAAAATGAGGAAGGTGGTTACATACAAAGCTGAAGAATCTCTGAGACACCTTTAGCCTCAGGGAAGCCTGGAGTTTTGTGATGTTACAGTGTTTGCCAGTTTAGCATTTCCAGATTAGATTGCATAATGTAAAATGTTCATTTTAGCCTGTGACTTAGAACAAATCAGCTGCTGTCACTCAAGAATTCATACCCCCTGGGAGTCGTCTGGCATCTACTTTCACCTCCCATCAACTTTCAAAGTTGGTTAATTAGCATAGCAATGTCTAAAATTACTTTTTTGCTATGAAAATTAGCATCAAAAAAGCACAGTGTTTGCCAGAAATAAGCTGGGGTGGTATAAATTAGCTAGTTTCAAAATAGGTAAGTGGGCAAATATATTTGCCCTACGATTAGATAAAAGAATATATATAACATGCTAGCCAGACCATCTTTGAAGAAGTAGCCCCCAAATAACCCTGATCCCCCATGCTGAGGATATTTTTGGTTGCTATTAATGCAGAAATCAAATCCTAGAACATCACTACAATTGCCTCAATAGAGTGCTTCATATAAAGTGTCTTGAAATATCCAGACAGGTCATAGAGACTTCACTGAACTTGCTGGACTGTTTGTTGACAGCCTGCTCATATGAGGACTGACCTCCCACTACATGGTGGGTATAATTAACCCTCACTGCTCACTGCTTTAATCTGAATATTCCTATCCTCACAAATTTATAAATTGAAGCCAACTCCCCCCCCCCAATATTTGACAACGAGGACTTTAGGGCATCATTAGGGTTGGATGAGGTCAAAAGGGTGGGGCCCTAATAGTGAAGCTGGTATCCTTATAACAAGGGACACTGGAGAGCTTGCTTTCTTCATGCCAGCACTGAGAAAAGGTAAAGAGCCATGGAGAAAGCTGCCTTCAGAAACACGGGGAAGAGCCCTCACCAGAAACCGTCTGTGCAGGACCCTAAGCTCAGACCTCTAGCCTTTGGAACTTAGATAAAACAAATTCTGTGAAGGCATCACTCTGTGCTATTGTGTTATGGCAGCTCAAGCTGACCAATGCATGCACTTACATTAACCTTCCTCAGATCAAAAAATAAATAAATAAAAGTGAAAGCTATAGTTATGCATCACCAAAATATTTTCTTCCTTTCTTCCAGTTCTTAAGTTTTCTAATACAGTTAGTTACAGTGAGGATGAAACTCAGACAGCCCTGCCTGCAAAGCCAAGCTCCCTCTCCCTTCTTCAGTAATAGAATCCTCGTTTTATACCTAAGAACATGAACACCTGGAGCAAACACTACATTGTCCAGTTTTCTTTGCTACCCCAAGACTTAGAGCAAATGATACAAGTTTGTTACTTGTGCAGTTTCCAGTATGTGCGCCTATGGAAATGGATGTGTCCTTTTTCAAGGACCCCCCCTCCAGTCAGCCATATGCTGTGCACACTGCGGGAACATAGAACTACTATCTTGGGCGATAAGATAGACACACCTGCTTGGCAGTGGTGGCGCATGCCTTAATCCCTGCTCTGTGGAGGCAGGGGCAGGCAGATCTCTGTGAGTTTGAGGCCAACTGTTATGCCAGCCTGAACCTCCCATGCTTAAGTGGAAGAGAAAAGCTTTCTTTTATTTAAGTCTGTTGCGTACTTTTTGCCAAATCTGTGGCTAACCAGTGCAATTTTGTTACACACACGCACACACACACACACACACACACACACACACACACACACACAAAAGAAGACAATTGCTTCTGAGAGGATTCTTACCAAGGAAGTTCAGTCAGTCCTCCTTGTACAGCAATAGCAGATTTAACCCTGTTTGCAAACTGAACCGCATCTTCTCCTTCCTAGTTAAATGAAAAAGTTACACATCTTGAGTATGAAGTTTTTAAACACCTTAAAATGTCTCATAACCATTTTCATTTTTTTCTATATGACTAAATACATTAACAAGAAACAACCTGTTCACAAAGAACAGAACAAAGCTTGATGGGAGTAATGGAAATACCCAAGGCCTTATTTAGGCAAAGATTTTCTTGCTTTTATCTGATTAAATAAGCATCAAAGACTGGAAATTGTCTCAGTGATACCTCTCTGGTCATGGGAGGCATGTACCACACGTCACAGACGATGGCCCAGCTGGTCATTATTCGAAGCAAGTAGCTCACCATGCCATATTTGCTGCTGTTCCAGAATGCATCACCAAATTGGGGGTTATACTAAGAAGAGGGAAAAAAAAAGGCAAGATATGGCAGCCATTAACTCCATTCTGGCTTCTCTCATCCAAACCACTGTTTGCAGGTGGAAAGATAAATGAGTCTATTGGACCCAAGAGAATTTACTGCACTGGATAGACTTTCACAGGAACTAAGCCAACCCCACTAATGCCTTCCATTAACCAACCACTTTGCTAAATAGAGCCCAGAGAGCTGCACTACAGAAGCTGTTTGCACGCCTCCCAGATACGTGACCCCACACTTAATTAGAAAGTCAATCAATCAAGCAGGGATTGATCAGATTTGCCCACCACTGGGTCTTTAGTATTAATATAACCTCTGCTGCAGTCATGCTGTCTGTCCATCTGTCCAGCCATCTATGTGTTGTCTGTCTACCTATCTCTGTCTCACTATCTACCCACTACCTGTGCATCTGTATGTCATCTACCAGCATGAACCTATTGTCTGTCTATCAATTGTCAACTATCTATCTGGAGAGAATGAGCACAAAATGTAAAATACATAGACCCAAAGGAACTGAATAATAGTGTTCTTTATTCTTGCACGTTTTAAATTTGCAACAATATCAAATAAAGTTCACAATCCAATGCTTCCCCCCTTTAAAATTCTAATTTTACCTTTATTGCCACTGGATATATGGTCCCTCCGATTTCAAAACTTCCCTTTTTAAACATCATGACTGAAGTATTGTTGATGCAGGTACCTGGCACAGGATGTGAGGAAGTAAATCTCTTTTTAAAAACAAAATTTAAAAGGAATTGCTCTAAAGATTGTTACATTTTTTTTTATGTGCATGCATACATTTGGAGGTCAGAGTACAACATGAGGGAGTCATGCCTCTCTTCCTCCTGTGTGTCCTAGACACTGAACTCAGGCCATTAGGCTTACAGGCAAGCTTCCCTACCTACTAAACCATCTCGCTGGCCCCAAATTTACTTTTCTACAATTCTAAACATCATCCAAACAGCAGATAATTTAGTGCCACTTCGAAAGTCAACCCTTGCTTCAAAAACAAAAGGTTTTGAGCAATTTTAACAGCAAAGTTCACCGCCACTGAACACTTAGCAACAACCCCATCACAGCAATCGACTATTTCAACACATTTCAAGACTAACACCTGCAAAGTCATAGACCATGCTGTTTAATACCACTATGGAAAAGTTACTTTAAAAATCAAATAGGCACCGAGTGGTAGTGGCTCATCACCTGGCAGTGGTGGTGCACACCTTTATTCCCAGTGCTCAGGAGGCAGAGAAAGGTGGATCTCTGTGAGTTCAAGACCAGTCTGGTCTACAAAGAAAGTTCCGAGGCAGCCAGAGTTAATATTAAACAGAGAAGCCCTGTCTTGAAATAAAAAAAAATCAAATAGGTTCTGTGGCTCATCAGAAAGCAAGAAGTGAAAGGCATCCATCCCTTCCGCTAAGGCAGCTCCTCTAAAGCACCAAGGCTAGAGTGTTCCTCAGATGGTTTGCTGCCATCAGCTGCAGCCTGAGGCAGCCTCTGCTCTTACCTTCAGGGAAGATTAATATGGGCAACTTTTTCTTATCAGCAACATGTTCTCTTAGTCTGTAAGCAAAAAATAAAGGATTTGTGAGTCGATCTTAAGAGACAAAGAGATGAGAATCCTTCTTCTTCACTTCCTGTTAGCAAGGGGGAAATAAGTACTAAGACCAGAAATAAGTAACAAAGGAAAGGAGATAAAAGTCACTCTTCCCCCTCTCTCTGAGTGAGTTTTGTTAACTTCATCCTACTTTGTTTACGACAGGGTCTCATTAGCTCAGGCTGGCCTTGAACTCACTATGTAGGCAAGAATAAACTTAAACTCCTGACCTCCTGATTCCAAGTCCCGGGACTATAGGTATGTACTATCAAGTTCAGCGTCTGTCTACTCTTAAAAGGGATTTCTAGATAGCCATGTGCCATTAGCACTCTGCCCTTCCCTATGTGGTAATAATTCCTTGTGTAGGGAAAAAGGGGGGGGGAATTCTGAGCATGCTTGATCTGTCTGCATCATGGCTGTTAAGTGAGGAAGCCCTCAAATGAGTCTGGATGAACTTTCCTATGAAATCAAACACCATAAACCAGATATGGTAATCCCGGTACTCAGGAGGCAGAGACAGGAAGATAGCAAGAGTAAGTGTAGCCTGGGCTCCATAGAGTGGAAATTGGTTTTCACCAGGAACTTGGCAACCCTGCATGTCTAAAAGCAGCGAGCACAGCCTCTTCTGGGAAGGCTTTTCCAAAGCTTTCTTCCTGTAGGGTTCATCTACACAAAGCCCCAGATAGAGCCTCCTCCCTCCATTTCCATAAAGATCTGCTGTAGTTTGGATGTACCTGTCGCATGGTACTACTGAGGGGTGACAGCCTTTAGGAGGCGGGGTGCTCGCCCTCAGCGGGAAGGTTCAGACCCTGCTCCTTCCACTCCCTCTTGTTTCCCTGTCCCCATGATGGGAACAGATTTCCTTTGCCACGAACTTTCAGTTTACTGTGTAGTCACAAGCCCACGCACAAGAGCCAAGAGACCAGGCACTGACTACCCCCCCCCCTGAAACCAGTGACAAAATAAACCCTTCCTTCCCCCTGGTAAGTTGATCTCCTAGTGTGCTTTTTGACAGTGACAGAAAGAAAAAACAGTGATTATCAGCTTTCTGGTAACTAGATTTGAGTGGCAGAGGCCATTCAGCAAAAACAATCATTTATTCAGCAAATAACTGATCAATATCTAACCCTCAAGGTGGTGACCTTAAACTTGTAAAAGTTCAGTGACTACTCGACTGTACTCAAGTCACAGCTTTCCAGTCTGGTCCTGGGCAGCCATGTATCCCCACCCCTCCACTACAGAATTATACATCAGTTCTATTAATGACTCCAGAAAAACAGAACTTTTCAGGACTTTGTTTCTCTCTCTGTGTTTCTCTCTGTGTTTCTCTCTCTCTCTCTCTCTCTCTCTCTCTCTCTCTCTCTCTCTCTCTCTCTCTCTCTCTCTCTCTGTGTGTGTGTGTGTGTGTGTGTGTGTGTGTGTGTGTGTGTGTATGTGGGGGGGTGGTGTCTGGCCAAAAGACCCAAGTCAATCAGCTCCTCTGTTACTCCAATGAAGGTCAAGGATCTATACTGTTTACCTCTTAGTAACCAGGTGTCGGTCCTTCATTTCTGAGCGCTCAAACCAGACGTGTGGACAAGCCTTAACCATGGCTCTCTGAATGATCCCCATCAGTCCACCGTGAACCTGTCCAACCTAGAAGCACCAAGACAAACAGAAACACATAAAGGTACAGCCACCCAAAAAAACATGTCTTTCCAAGAGTGGGAATCCATTCTCCATTCAGAAAAAAAGACTAGCTATCTTTTACTGACTTTTACTAAATTCCAAATCTAGCCAGGATTTGTGCTATTCAGCAGTGACCTGGACGTTAAAGTCACTTTGCTCCACAAAGATCCCTCAACTTCATCATCAAGATTATGGAAATGCAAATTAAAGACACACTGAATTACGATTTTAAATGCACCTGAATGGCAAGGATTTAGGGCACTTGATACTATACTCTGATGCAAGGCTTTGTTTGGGGAAAGGAGTGAGGACATTTAACAGCTGTCAAGTTTACATATTCAATTAGCCTCCATTTCAATCATTTCTCTTCTAGAAATTCCCCCTGAAAATACATCAGTAAAATGAAAATACACACTCAAAGATTATTAGCTATAGTATTGTTTATTATTGCAAAATACCAAAAACTACCTAAATGTCTAAACGGTTAACACATAGTGTCAAGGATATGGTGGGTGGTAAGATGTGTGAGTGTGTGTGTGTCTCTGTGCGTGAGTAGATGTGAGTGTGAAACTGTGTAAAACTGTGAGTGAGTGGGTGTGAGTATGTGTGTGAGTGTGCATGGACATGCATACATACATGCAGCAGAATACTATGCAGCTGAACAAAGAACAAGGCTGACCTCTAAGACAAATAAGGGGTAATGGTTTCCAGACAATAGGAAATTACAAAAGGCAAAAGAACGGATAAGCATGTTATCTTTGGGGTGAGATTAGAAATGAAATGATACATTAGCATTTTTTTAGCCCTTCAAGAAGAAATAAGAAAGGATAACCAAGCAACAGTGTTGGGAACCTACAAAGAGACCAGCAACATTCTGAGGTCTTCAGCTTCCAATGTCTTATAATCAACTCTTTGTTGGCCAGAGCACAGAAGAAACAGGGTGTGTTCTCAGAAACACAAAATCATAATTAAACCGTCACTGTGGCTTGAGTGCATTCCCCCAGAATTCAAGTACTGAAAGATGAGTCCCCCAGGCAACAATGCTGGAGAAAGGACCTAATGGGACAGGTCTGGATCACAACACCTCTGCTCAAATGAACAAAGTAGAGCTATTTCTCTTGCTGACGCTGGAGAGATGACTCGGCTGTTAAGAGACATGCAGAGGACCTGGGTCCAGTTCCCAAGACCCGAATAACAGCTTACACCTGGCGAGTTACAGGGAATCCACTGTTTTTTCTGGCCTCTCAGGGAGTTACACACACATGATGCAGAGACATTCATACAGGCAAGACATTCACACACGCAAAATGAAAATAAATATCTTTACAAAATGGGGCACTCTTGGGAGCAGACTCCTTTCGTAATTCCAGGCCTCCCTTCTGACATGCGAAGACAGTCAGATCCACACTAGACACCCTGACTTTAGACTCTTTAGCCTGCACTGTGAGCCAGCCACTTCTGCTCCTCACAAACCTGTCTGCAGTACTGTTAGGTCAGCACAAGGTGGACAGGAGATGGGCAGATCAACCGCCTACGCCTCTGCCTCTCCAGCTATGATGACGTCCCAGGCCTGCCCTAACCACAACATAGAGAAAAACAAATACAGTGGGTGGAGTGTGCGTGTCCACATTCAGAAAAGACTGGTATGATATGTCAGGCATGCTCTGGGACTCTACTGAAGGCTGCCTTGGGTTGGCTTTAGGGAGGATGCCTAAATACTGAAATTATATAGAAAATTGTGTTTGTATAACATATGTATGTTTTCTAGTTCCTTTTTATTTTTCAATGTATATACCTATCAATTGATAACTAATCCACCAAAAGATAAACAACCAATTCCTATCTCTTTTCCTGAAGATAGCAAAGATCTTTAGGTTCAAAAAAAGGCTCACTTAAATCAATGGTGTCTTGTCTAAGAGTTATTTGTTCTGAAGACTTTATTTCACTTATTTATTTACTTTGTAGGAAATGAGTCTGTGTATCAGGGTCTTACTGTGTAGCCCTGACTAGCCTGGGACTTGCTGTGTAGTCCAGGCTGGCCTGGAACTCATAGCTCTCCCCCTGCCATGCCCTCCTGAGTGCTAGGATTATAGGAATATGCCACCATGTCCAGGTTGTACTTTTACTTTAGATTTTCTTTTCTTTCTTTCTTTCTTTCTTTTTTTTTTTTTTTTTTTTTTTTTTTTTTTTTTTTCCTGGCAGTGCTGGGGCTAGATCCCCGGCTTCACATGTGCTGGGCAAGTATTCTACCACTGGACCATATCTGAAGCCACTGAACTTACAATTTTAGACAAAGCAAAAGAGGCAGCAGTAAGTGGGAATTTTTACAAAAGCCTTTGTTGATCACACAGCCCATGGACAGTAAAAACCAGTGTGCATGCTGGCACTGTGAAAACCAGTGTGCCTGCTGGACACCAGTGTGCCTGCTGGACACCAGTGTGCCTGCTGGACACCAGTATGCATGCTGGAAACCAGTGTGCATGCTGGCACCGTGGACACCAGTGTGCCTGCTGGCACTCCCCACTCACTCACAGCACTTAACCTGGAAGGGTTCCCCTCAAAGACTTTCCCAGAAAAACACCCTAGACCACCAATATCAGTGTAAAGAGCTGACCTGTGAACCTTCTGCCCTCACAGCTCCAACCGCCATCCACAACCCACAACTGTGAGGAGAGCAAGCCAGGGACACATGTCTGGTCATCCCGTGCCCCAAACCTCCTTAGGACACATTTAACCAGTGAGCAGAAGAGGAGCCTGGGTCAGCATCTGAGGTTCACCCAGCAGAGGAAACGTCAAGACAACCTGTTAGAGCCACAGACAGTGGGGGAACAGACAGGCACAGACAAGAGTGTGATCCCTCTTCACGCCCAAGAAAGGGCACTGGGGACTGGTTTTGCTGTGGACTCCGTGGTTACTGGGTTTTCTGCTGTTTTCGTTTTTTTTCTTTGGAGGCTGTGGACAAAACCTGAGAACTGGGCTGAGGCACAAGTATTTTGCCTTCCTTGCCAGATCCTCATTAAAGAAATAGATTTGAGTTTTTTGTTGTTTTGTTTTGTTTGTACTTATCCCGCTGAAAAGAGAACTAATTGGCTGGCTGAGTAAAACTCTGAAGAGGTTGCCTTTAAATTTGTACAGTATAAATAAGCACCAGCTGGCATGTTAAAAGCAAGATGAAATCAACTTTACAAAGTTCTGTCAAGGTGTTTTCCCACTTTGGCTATTATAGCTATTCTCTCGAACTGTTTGTTCCTTGTGTAAATATACTATGTAACCTATACTGCTATGTCCCAGCCAAAGTCCTAATAATGAACTCTCTAGTTTGCAATTCAGCAAGCACACATATATTGAAGTATCAGTGAGCTGCTCTTACCATAGCATAACATCCATCCGTTGTCAAGATTAAGACATCGATGGGGGAGGTATGATTGGCGACACATATGCCTCCCTTCTGGGGTCTGTACTGCCTGCAATTAAAACAGCCGTCAGCACCACACCTCAGAAAATGCTCAACATTTTACACATCAGCACGTACAGACGTATCTTATCTAGGATTTCTTTTTTAAGTTTTTAGGTACGTAGGCCTATCTTTAAAACATTATCCCTGTGTAGAACGATGAATTGCATGAGGGACCATGACACTCTTTATAATTCATATTTTACTTATTTAACCACAACTATTCTGATTTATGTTGATTTCTCTAAGTGTAGTCTGCTGTTTTGTTGTTAAGACAGGGTGTCTTGCAACCCAGACTGGTCTCAAACAGGCTGTGTAGCTGAGACTGGCCTTGAACATCTGGTTCTCTTGCCTCAGCCTCCCAGATGGCAATGATTACTGTGTGGGCCACCACACTGAACCAATTTACACTTGCTCAAACCAAATGACAACATGCTTCCTCGATTAGGGTGCTTGTTCTAGACTGTATAATTATGGTGTCGCCAGGCAGGGTGACTTGCATCTGTCATCTCAATATTTAGAAGATCAAGGAAAGAAGACCTCCACAAGTTGGAAGCTAGCCTGTGCTATTTAATGAGTTTCAAGACAGCCAGGGATACATAGCGAGGTCTTGCTTCAAAAGGAATGCTAATAAGAATTTAAAAATAATAATAATAATAACAACATTGAATTAAGAGAAAAGTAGTTCAAAAGCACTCACAATTGTTTTAATGGTTCATGATTTTCTCTAGCTACTTGTATTCTCTGATTGTGAATAAAGAGAACAGAATGAAGTATCTTATCTTAGGAACCAGGTAGGGAATTTTAGAAATGGGAAGATTAAGTGTGAAAAATAGGCCTCGGCCTCAGCCACACCCCAGGACTGCCAGCAGCAGCATCTTCAAAACACATAAGACCCAGCTCAAAGCCTGACTTTGAACCTGCACCACCATTAGACCCAGAGTTCCCTCCGTTCACCTATCACATAGGATAGCTTTGTCCACCCCCCAGGAGTAACCTATGAGAAGTTCAACCCCTCCGCACACCATAAATGTCCATGTATGAACACTGCTCAGAGTCAATTTTTATATTCCTTCTGAAAACACACACAATGCTGAACCTGGAAGTTCCCAGCTCCCACCGGCTGCCTCCCGACTCCTTCCAGCTCTCATCACCCCCATCCCACTCCCTCCCTGCTGAAACTGTCTGAAGATGAAGCCTTGGCAGCAGAGGACACTCACTTGTTATGATAATGAATGGTACCAGACAGGGACCGGACACAGATCCTGCAGCAGGTCAGGTGCACCAGCTCACTCAGCCAGCTCTTGATGCTGACAGAAAAAGAACCCATTTTACAATTTTTTCCTGGGTACCCACCCCTAAGATACACAGCAAAAGCTTCCATGGGCTGTTCTGATAGACCAAATAGGGATTCTTGCCCTCTCAATGATGCATCTGCTATTAAAGGTCTGAGAGAATCAGAGAGAATTCTACTGCGAAGTCCACCCCATCCTGCTAGATCATAACGAAGGCCTAAAGACCAGCTGAAGTTTCTTTGGTCTAGACTCCCCAGGACCAGTGTCAAAGGCCACTTTTCCTTTGGATCTCTTGGGCCACTTTCTCTTTTTCCTTTCATTTCTCTTTTGAAAAAGCTACTTTCAGTTCGAATAGGGAAAAAAAATCAAATAAAGACTATGAAGATGAATCCAGTAAGGATTCTCATACGTGGCTTGAGACCACAAAATTCATGCAAAATCTACAAGCTTGCCAAATTCTAGCTCTGTGGACCCAGCTAGGGACAGAGGACAATCCTACAGAACGCTGGATGGAAGTAGACACGTCACCTGCTGTCTGGAAGCTGTCCCACCAGTGTAGTTCCTATAATCAGCAAACTGATCCCAATGAAAGCCAGAGTAACCCTGTAAAAGAAAAGAGGGCTACTGCAAACATTTGCCAGACAGTGGGGATACACCTAAAGAAGTCACCACTGCCTCCTAAACAGCAGAACTGTAACTTTGTAGAGCATTATGGAATATGGTACAGCAAGGAAAAGATTGTTCTATGATACATTTTGGGAGGAAGAGAAAAAGATGGTGGGTTCTAATAAATAATAGGACACATGCTGGTAATCTCAGTACTTGGAAGGCAAAGGCAGGAGAATCATTAGATCAAGATCATTCTAGGTCACACAGCAAGTTCAGGGTCATCCCCAGCTTCATGAGACCCATTCACAAAAAGTATCAAATAAGCAAAACAAAAATTAAAAGCTCTAGGTGGGTGGATCTCAGTGAGTTCAAGACCAGCCTGGTCTATAAAGTAAGTTCCAGAACAGCCAGGGCTAAACAGAGAAACTCTATTTCACAACTAATAATAATAATAATAATGATCATCATCATCATCATCATCCCCCTCAAAAAGCTTTAGTATTTCCTTCCCAAATTTCAAGATAGTCTTGTACACCCCCAGAATACCTCAACCCCACTTTAGAAGCACTGGGTTAAGGTTCCAGCAGTAGTATATACATGCAATTCTCAATTTCACCGTTTATCACAGCCGCAACAGTTCCCAAAAAACAGCAATGGGACACAAAGGAACACAGGAACACACACACACGCACAGAAACAGAACTTAGTGATCTGTGTCTTTCTATACTTAAGCAGTGCTAAATACTTATAAGTAAACAATGTCTCCTGTGCTAGCTCGGAGGAAGGCCAGTATCACCTGCCTAGGCATGGAAGTAAAGTTTCCACTCATATGCCAATGGTAGCTGGCTAGTAGCAACTCCTGGAAATCACAGTTATGTCCAAGAAAACAAAGATGACCAACATCTAGGCTGGTATATAGGCCTGATCCCTGCATCATCATAAAGAGAGGGTGGCCACATTGTCATCTTCCTACCCAGTGCTGTCTGCTATCTTGAGATGCATGTTGATGAGGCAGCATTCAAGCCTCAAATCAGAGTGGGCGTCTTTACTAAGGACTAGATGGCAGTGATGGAGTTGGATGAACAAATTCACACTATGGAATGGCAACGGTCTCTGGGATTTGTCCCCTCTTTCCTATGCGCCTCTCAGTTCTACATACAAAAGAGAGGCTGTGTCTGCAGGCAGCTCTTTTTCAGATGATGCTCTGGCACTAGCATCTGTGTGTGTGGAGATCAGAGTGTTGTTCTTTTGTTACAGTTATAGGAATAAAAGCTGGAGAACGGGAGGGGGTGGTCCCAAGTGAGTGGAGTCCCAAGGTAAGGAGCCATGTGGGAGAGCATAGCAGGTGAGGGTGATCAAAGGGGAGGGAATAACACGCCAGGCAGATAGAGCTTAAATGAGGAGTTTATTTAGAAGGGGAGTGAGGGAGAAGGGAAGAGACATAGAGGCACCGGGAACAGAAGAGTAGAGGGGAGAGAGAGAGAGAGAGAGAGAGAGAGAGAGAGAGAGAGAGAGAGAGAGAGAGGGAGAATTTTAAATGCACGTCTTCATTTGGAAAAAAAAAAAAACTGTAAAAGAAGGGCACAGGTAACACACAGCTGCATCCATTGCACACATGAGGAAGAGGGAGGAGGGACTGATGACACCATCAAACCAGGCAGGTGTCTTACCTCAGAGGTAGCAGGAAGCAATAGCGTATTAGGACACCCAGCACCCACACCATAGTGAGCTTCGGACTGATGTACTGAAAGTTGACATTGGTTCTTGTGAGGAGATTCCATGATACTAGCTCCTCGGAGGAGAACCTCTGGGTCACTTCATCCTCCACAATGGCTTCCAATCCCTTCTTGGAGAAATAAAACACATCAGAGAGCTCGAAGTCCCTTCCTCGAAGACCAGAGAGCCCTTTTTCCATGGGTGACTCATCTCTTTGGATAATACCTTAAAAGAAAGCATCAGGACATGAGAAAATGCTATAGAAGCAAGGAGTAATTGACTGAAGAGGCAATGTTAACCATACAGAACGCAGAGAACTGGCTTAATGGGTGACTTAGGCACCATGAGCATGTGAGCGAAGAGTGACGTGAAGATGTTAGAACAGAGATCATGGTGAGAAGAGGTGAGGCCACAGTTGGGGTGTATGTTTGGTGATAGAATGCTGGCCTAGTTCCATCCTAAGGTCATGACTTCAATCCTCAAGACTGCCAAAAATTATTTAATAAGAAAAATGCAGCCAGGCACGGAGGTGCACGCCTTCTATATAGGCATTCAGGAAACAAAAGCTAACAGGTCTCTATGAGTTCAAAGCTAGCCTTGTCTACATAGAGAGTTCCAGGTCAGCCAGAGTGACATAATGAGACCCTGTCTCAAAACAAAAGGAAAACAGAGGATATTTCAGAAAAGTAAGCGAAGTGTAACTAGATTGATAGGAGAAACCATGTTAGTAAAATAGATACTTTTATGTTGTGATAAAGTCTGGTGACTGAAATGGTACTGGTTCCCTCATATTTCCCTGTGCAAAGTGGAACAGCCTGTGGCCATTTTTAAAAGTGACTCACCAGGAAAAGACTAAAAGAGTTCTGCTAAGGATTGGTAATCTTGCCCCTAAAATGTTCCCTAAGAGATGCAGGGAAGACATTCACTGCAGCACTCTGCTCAGGACTGGTAATCCAGCTGCTAAAATATTTTCTAAGGGATGCAGGGAAGGCATTCACTGTTGCACTCTTGATGCACAGCACCACTGTTAATTAGGATCCACTATCAAGTGAAAAGAGATGAGATCGTAAACATATCTGAATCCATGTAATATATTCATGGGGAGAAAAAAACACCAAGAAAAGAACATGCTTCTCTTTGGGTATTAGATTCTCTTCTCCACTGAGACTATTTCCCATAAAGAAAGAAATTCAAAAAGGTTTTTGAAAGCCAAGTTTACTAGAATGGGATTTTTTTTTTCTTTTTGATTTTCTGCATGATGCACTGAGTGAGTGTGTAAAGAGAGGATGAAGTCCTGAATGATTGTGTAAAGAGAAGATGAAGTCCTGAATGAGTGTGTAAAGAGGATGAAGTCCTGAGTGAGTGTGTAAAGAGGATGAAGTCCTGAGTGAGTGTGTGCTGTTGGCACGGGCACAGCCATGTCAACAACACCAATGCCTCATCCACGGACACTGGCAAAGCCTTCCCAGAGTGAGGCTCAGAAGATGGCAAAGCTGTCCTCTAGCCCAATAGTTCTCAACCCATGGGTCACAACCCCTTTGCGAGGTCATATATCAGACATCCTGCATATCAGATATTTACATTAATATTCAAAATAGCAGGAAAATTACAGTTACAAAGTAGCAATGAAATAATTTTCTGGTGGGGGTCACCACAGCATGAGGAGTAGCTTTAGGAAGGTTGACAACCACTGCTCTTGTCCAAGTGATGGGACAGTGTGTGTGGACTGGCAACCACAACTTCCTCCCAGATGACTGGTACCTAAGACAGCTGGCCTATAGACACTTCCTACCAAGAGTAGCTAACTCCGTCCTGTGTTGTGCAGAATGGATGCCCTGAAGTTCTGCACTGTTTTTGTCAAATAGTTTGTCCCATCTGAGCAAGTACAGAGAGCTTTCTGAACATTTGTCTGTGGGTCTGTCCTTTCTCCATGCCCCCACAGTCCTAGGCATGCCAAGCTCCAGCTGTTCTGGGTTCAGGGAGAGAAAAAAATTGACTTGAAATTGAAAATCAGGTTGTGTTTAGGATAGTCACCAGCTCCATTGTGGGTGTATATCTTTTATATAATGAAGAAGTTGGACATTTTCAGTTTCCTTACAGGACTAACCCTTTGAGTCTCAGAGAGAAAGAGAGAATACATATGTGGTTTTGCCTAATTGTTTTATCTAATAACTTAATTGTAACAATAAAAACAGGTTAATCGAAATAATTAGAACAATAAAACAAGCTCTTGAATGCTTATTGGATTGTCTTTTTTTTTTTTTAAGTTAGGTCAAGTCTTTCTTGCTCTTCATTAGTGCCAGTGGATGGTCCAAGATTGTGTCCCTGCCAAGTTACCCTCTTGCTCCACAGGCTCTGCAATACCACTAAGGCAGAGTACTCTATCCAAGTACTTAGCAATGCAATGGTTTCATTATTTAGCAATCTATATTTCTTAAACAAACCTAAAGGGGAAGAAAACAAAGCTAGTCAGTGAATCTCTGAATAGAATACACCAGGCACAGTAGATATACCTCCTAAAAATATCCTTTCTCAGAAAGGCCAGAGATGAGAAAATGCCACTCTAAGTTGATTATGTAACTGAGCTAAGGGAGCAGAACCCTGCCAACAAAGCAGCTTGCCAGCCCCACCCACCTGGTATGCAGTATTTTCCCTGCCCAGGACCTAGTCTGTTCCCTACAACTCCAATAAAAATGTAATACAGTTCTGTATTTAGTTAAGTATCATCCAAAAATGTGTGGACAGCTGCAATGCTACAAGCCCAACAAAGAAGATTTCTGGCATATACGAAGACAAACAAAAAGTCAGCAGAAGAATGAACTTCAAAGTTCAATAAGAAAGGCTAAGAACACAGCAAGAGTTCAGCCCCTTTATGACTCAAAACTCTGAAAGATGTTCAGCTTCACTATACCCAAGAGACATATGCTGTGCCACAACAATAGAGTCATATCATCCAGGGCTCTGAAAGTGGGTACCAACGGGGATATAATTAGTAAAACTGTACTGGAAAGCAATCCAGCACCATGGAGTAGAATCAAACATTCATAGAGTATGACTCAGGATTTACACCCGGAGAGCTGTTCTAAAATACCGAATGCATAGAAAGGCTACAAGGATGTGTCATCCCACTCGGACTTACTGTCTTCATTCTGCCACATTTACTTTGTTATTCTCTCTATATTATATAAATAAGTTCTTTTCTGGCCCACTTAGAAGAAATTGTGTACACCGTGTTCTTTATCTCTCAACAGACGTTTCCTCTGGATAGGTAACCAGAACGAAAGCACTGAAATCAAAGAGGTTGGCCACACTGCTGTCTAACCTACCTCATTCTGCTGTCTAAGTACCTCATTCAGTTTTTTCACAACTGTCCCAATAATAGCCTTTAAACCAACTCATGATCCAGATAGGGGCAACAGAGGAGGATGGGAGGGTGCAGGAACTGGGATTGACATGTAAAACAAGGTTGTTTCAAATTTAAATAAAAAAATTATCAAAAAATATTTCCTGATCCAATGTTCAACCCAAGCTCCTACATCACATTTACATGTCAAAAGTACATTTTAGCTGCCTTAAATATACCAAGCTTCCTACAACTCAAGATATTATTTTATTTATTAAACAGGGTACTGAGCATAAATGGTAAATCCATAACAGGAAAATAAAAACTATCTGATATCAATAGACACACAATTTCTGAAGGTGAATTCTACTAGGTGCTGTGAGGAGGCACTACCCTTATGTCTCTTTCTTCCTGAGATACAGTAACTATTGAAGGTCAAACTTATACATCCAATTTGCCAAATTATTAACTTCTGACAGAAAAAGCAAACTGATACAATCAGTATACAGTGGAAACTATGAGACAGGCATCAAATTGGAGGTTAGAAAAAACTGGAAATATTTCTTTGGGCACTAAAAAGTATCCAGAAAGAGACCAAAATCTACCACACACATCAAATTAATAAAAACGCAAATCTACACTACCATTAAGAAGAGCAGAAGTTGGGGTAGAGATGGCTCAGTGGCTAAGAACACCAGCTACTCTACCAGAGGACCCAGCTTTCATTCCCATGGGCAGCTTACTAATATTTCTATATAACTCCAGTTCCAGGGGATCTGGGGTCCTCTTCTGGCCTCCGTGGTACACAGGCATACACACAAGTAAAATACCCATACACATAAAATAATAATTTTTAAAGAAAGTCTAGTTACTTGCAACAGGTTAATTCTGTTCTTTCAGACCACCATGCTTCTTAAAATGACAAACACTGACTCTAGGAAATGTTTCCTTTAATTTTACAACTGTTTAAGAAAATAAAGCCATGAATTGTGGGTAACCCCAGAGCAAAGTTAGCATCTTTACAGCCGTCTTTCCTACTACTCTTTAGATACTAACACACTGGTAATTTTCCATTTCGCATGACTGTTCTGTTAAGCACATGATGCAGCCTGACCCTGAAAGAGCCCCAGCTGCAGGCTTATCTTATAGCAACTTATAGCAGAACACCTGCATTCTGTTTGGAAGGACATTCTGCCTCCTTCACATCCTCCCTTTGGTCCATTCCACTACTTAAACCCTGTGGTTATTTTCATTAAATGAGACTTGATCAGAATACTGTCTTGTCTCCATTTCTTATGTCTCCTCATTCTCCCTCTCTTCCTCAGGGTCCCTGTTGACTGACCCTCACAGCCGGGGCAATGAATGTTTGAACTTTGTCCTTATGCAAAATGCTCAGGCTCGGCCAACACAGACCAAACTTGAATAAAAAGGAAAATTAAAGCTAACACTTGGTCTAATGCAAGAGATTAATTGCACAAGCGGCTCTGTGGCCTTCTGCCTTCAACAAGTCATTGGTACATAAATAACACGACAAGTGAAAGGCCTGTAGAAATGGAGGCAGAAGTTAAAGCCACCTCAACCATAATTAACTCTAAATTAGCTGAGTGAACCTTTGGAATAACTGCCCAGTTATAAATCACACTAGCGTTCTGTCCTCTGGTTATAAAGGGAACTTTCTAAGCCACCAACTAAGAAACACAGGCCTACTGCAGACCCAAAGAAGACATGGCAATTGCATACACAAGTAGAGCCTTAACCTACCAACATTCCAAAGGTCAGGAGTC